TATCCCTTAACTTCTTCACGTTGAAAAGTCAAGCATCGGAAATTCTCACTACAGACAGCTCTCCTTCTTAACATGAGAGAACAGAATCGCGATCACTTCTGAACCACCTGGTAGCTCCAGGAACATGTTAGCGAATTTACACCATCGTCCGAAATCAATCATCCCAGGGACATGCAGCCGTACTCTCAAAGCCCCAACTGATCACACCCCTGGTTTGTTTTACTAGAAAGATCTCCGTCAGAAGAAATCCTAAAAAAGAAACATGCGCAAAATTACCTCCAAAAAGCCATTTCCCTGCCAAGCAGCATACACCTCATCCAAAAGCCGTACCCTGTGTGACTGACAAGCCGACAAACCAAATTATCAGCGAAATGAAAGACTACTGACTGCAGGAAGCCAAAACATGTGCCTGCCCTCATCCGTACAAGGACTGTGCGGCCGTTTCTTGCGACTTCGTTTTTTGGCGCCTCACTGGTTCCACTGCTGGAGACGGAGCTCTACCAGCAAATAACAGTAACAGACGAACATTAGGCAGAGCATTTGTAAATATGTTACACCGAAAACGTGAAGATAAAAAAACCCCGTTGGAGCTCCATATTTCACTGGCTATGAGACGCAGAGGCAAAGCTTTAGTTCCACTGTGAGTTGCTCAAAAGCATCCTGCCACCGCCACTTCCAGCCGGCACTACAAAACCGTGCTTTTGGCCGGAAGCAACTCAGCTAAAACTGTAACAAGTGCTCACGCGGGAGGATCGATCAGGAGGCGAACATGTATTTTCTTGCAGCCTGCACGGCGAACGGCAACGCCTTGGTCAGGCGGAGAGCGGAGTGTTGCAAGTGCTAAAGGTGCGGACAGCGCACGCCAGCCAGCCTAAAATTGCCTTCAAGCATCCTTCTCGCTGCAATCCCGCCCGGTTCAATCGCTGCACGCGCTGAAACAGCGCACTCCGCGTGAAGCAAGTGCTCAGACGCCGACCGTGGAGCAACGTATGCCGCGCCGCCGTGCCGGTACACGCTCCGCTCAACCACGAGAAGAAAAGACACACCGCCTCACTGGCCTCTCTCGACACGTAGGCGGCACACACGAAACAACTGAACCGGGCCAACGCCTCAGGCAAAAACCCACGCACACATCACAGCGTTTAAATGCCCCGCCCCCACCTTTGAATGCAACGTTTAAGCGGCAAAAGCGTGCTCGCAATGAAAACCGTCTCATCCCAGCGCTTCAAGTGTTCCCCTTCGCGCAGCGATCGCACGGAAACCCCCTGGGAGGAGGCGATTCCCGACCGGCGAGAAGTCCCATTTGAGCAGTATACATCGAGCGCAGACAAAGGCCACGCGTACTCACCGCACCCTCGAGCGGCACTTTCGCGTCCCCTCACTGCACCGCAGTGGGAGCAGGGAGGTCGCGTCGATGTGCCAGCTTGCATCGACTGAAAATCGTGGATTATTAGCCCCCTAAACGGATTATCAGCTTCGCGACTTTCCCGAACAGCACCTGCTGCACTCTAGTACCCCGAGATGTTTTTGGTGTGTGAGTGTGTGCGTGTGTGTA